TATATGTATTTTTTAATGAACATGTGTCTCGCACAAAAAGAATTAAGGATTTTTTTTTTTACAAGTAAGAGTCAATCAGATAATTTGCAACCAGCTTATGAGGGCAATGGGGGCACCTAAACTCTTGATGATAAAAGAAATGTAAACCTCACATTACCTCTGGATCTCTTAGCCAGAGGAATAAACTGGCAATTATTACAGATTAAAAAAAAATTAGAAAATCAATAAGTGTATTCCATCATATAAACAGAACCAATGACAAAAACCACGATTATCTCAATAAATGCAGAAAAGGCTTTTGATAAAATTCAACATCCCTTCATGTTAAAAACTCTCAATAAACTAGATATTGATGGGATATATCTCAAAATCATAAGAGCTACTTATGACAAACCCATAGCCAACATCACACTTAATGGGCAAGAACTGGAAGCACACCCTTTGGAAACCAGCATATGACAAGGATCCCCTCTCTCACTTCTCTTATTCAACATAGTTTCAGAAGTTCTGGCCAGGGCAATCAGGCAAGACAAAGAAAAAAATGTGTATTCAAATAGGAAGAGAGAAAGTCAAATTGTCTGTGTTTGTAGATGACATGACTCTATATTTAGAAAATCCCATTGTCTCAGCCCAAAAACTCCTTAAGCTAATAAGCCACTTCAGCAGTCTCAGAATACAAAATCAATGTGCAATATCACAAGCATTCCTATACACCAACAATAGACAAGCAGGAAGACAAATCATGAATGAAATCCCATTCACAATTGCTACAAAGAGAATAAAATAGTTAGGGAGAGATAGCAAGGGAAGAAATGCCAGATATAGGTGATGGGGAGGAAGGCAGCACATCACACTGCCATGTGTGTACCTATGCAACAAACTTGCATGTTCTTCACATGTACCCCAAAACCTAAAATGCAATTTAAAAAAATTCTCCAGCTATTTCTTCAAAAAGAAAAAGAGAGAATAAAATATCTAGGAATACATCTAACACGGAACTTAAAGGACCTCTTCAAGGAGAACTACAATTGGTGTTCAAGGATATAAGAAAGGACACAAACAAATGGAAAAATACTCCATGCTCATGGATAAGAAGAATCAATATTGTGAAAATGGCAATACTGTAGTTTACATATTCAGTGCTATTCCTATCCAGCTACCATTGACTTTCTTCACAGAATTAGGAAAAAGCTGCTTTAAATTTCATATGGAACAAAAAAAAAACCCATATAGATGAGACAATTCTAAACAAAATGTACAAAGCTGGAGGCATCATGCTATCCAACTTTATAATGCAAGGCTACAGTAACCAAAAGAGAAGGATACTGGTACCAAAACAGATATATAGACCAATGGAGCAGAATAGAGACCTCAGAAATAACACCACACATTTACAGCCCTCTGATCTTTGACAAACCTGACAGAAACAAGCATGAGGAAAGGATATCCTATTTAATTAATAGTGCCAGGAAAACTGGCTGGGCATATACAAAAAACTGAAATGGGACTCCTTCCTTACACCTTATACAAAAATTAACTCAAGATGGATTAAAAACTTAAATGTAAAACCAAAAACCATAAAGACTCTGGAAAAAAAAACCCAGGCCATACCATTCAGGACACAGGTACGGGCAAAGACTTCATTATGAAAACAGAAACAATTGCAAGAAAAGCCAAAGCTGACAAATGGAATCTAATTAAAGTAAAAAGCTTCTACACAGCAAAAGAGGCTATCATTAAAGTATCCAGGCAACCTACAGAATGGGAGAAAAATTTTGCAATCTACCCATCTGACAAAGGTCTAGTATCCAGAATTTAAAGAAACATAAACAAATTCACAAGAAAAAAAATCAAAAAGTGGGGAAAAAATATGAATGGACACTTCTCAAAAGAACATTGATGCAGCCAACAAACGTATGATTGGGAGGCCAAGGTGGGCAGATCACTTGAGGTCAGGAGTTCAAGACCAGCCTGACTAACATGGTGAAATCCTGTCTCTACAAAAATTAGCCAGGCGTAATGGTGGGTGCATGTATTCCCAGCTACTCTAGAGCCTGAGGCAGGAGTCATTTGAATCTGGGAAGCAGAGGTTGTATGAGCCGAGATCACGCCATTGCACTCCAGCCTGGGTGACAGGGTGAGACTCCGTCTCAAAAGAAAAAAAAAAAGTCCATCTTCCAAGGGCACCAAGTCCATATGTTTTTTTTTTTTCTTTTTTCCTTTCCTTTTTTTTTTTTCTTTTTTCTTTTTTTGAGACAGTCTTGCTCCATCACCAGGTGTCAGGTTGGAGTGGAGTGGTGTGATCCTGGATAACTGCAACCTCTGCATCCTGGTTTCAAGCAATTCTGCTGTCTCAACCTCCCAAGTAACTGGGGCTACAGATGCGTGCCACCATGCCCAGCTAATTTTTGTATTTTTAGTAGAGACGGGGTTTCACCATGTTGGCCAGGATGGTCTCAATCTCTTGACCTCGTGATCCACCTGCCTCGGCCTCTCAAAGTGCTGGGATTACACGCGTGAGCCACTGCACCCGGCCCAAGTCCATATGTTTTTAAGGCAAGTTCTATCAAATCTACAATGAACTGATGATTCCTACATTATACAAGTTCTTCCAAAAAATAAAACAAAATAATCTAATTTATTTTACAAAGATAATATAATGTTAATGATCACACTGGACCAACTCACATATTATTAAAATTATAGGTTAATATTAAAGATATACATGAAAATTTTCTAAATAAAAATCAATTAATTGAATCTAACAATTTGTAAAAATGACTAACAGTGTTTATTTTAAGCATGCAAGGATGTTCCAATATCAGAAAAATCCACTAGTGTAATATGTTGCATTAACACAATAAAGGTGGAAAAATATTGGATATTCTTTCAACTACATGTATTAAAGTTATTTGGTGATATCATGCAAATTTCTGATATATACTTTAAGAAAATTCAGAGTAAAAATAATATCTTCTTCAACCTATTAAGGTTATCCAAACCCCAGAAAAGTATGTATAATTAAGTGATTTATTGGAAGCATTCTTATTAAGTACTAGAATATAACTGCTATTACTGTCAGTATTAAATTTAATGTAAAGGCAATATTCTGTGCAGAAAATAATAAAAACAATAACAAAATGTTAGAAAAGATAAAAATAAATTTAGATTTTTCTCAATGGAAAATTTTTTATAAACCTAAATACATTTTAACAAATATTGGAATAAGAAAGTTGAGCAAAGAAGCTTAAACAAGATCAATGTATTAGCTATTGTAGACCTTATGGAAATGAAACATTATAAAGATATGCAAAGTTGGTTTGCACTAACCAGAGTTTATGTAAAATTAAATATGTTTTAACATTATAAAAAAATAGATAGGCCTGGTGCGGTGGCTCACGCTTGTAATCCCAGCACTTTGGGAGGCCGAGGCGGGTGGATCATGAGGTCAAGAGATCGAGACCATCCTGGTCAACATGGTGAAACCCCGTCTCTACTAAAAATACAAAAATTAGCTGGGCATGGTGGCGCACGCCTGTAGTCCCAGCTACTCGGGAGGCTGAGGCAGGAGAATTGCTTGAACCCAGGAGACAGAGGTTGCGGTCAGCCGAGATCGCGCCATTGCACTCCAGCCTGGGTAACAAGAATGAAACTCCGTCTCAAAAAAAAAGAAAAATTGATAATTCTACCTTGGATTGCCAGCAGCACTAAGAAGACCAAGTTTTATTCCAGTCACTGTGGTATTAGGCACAATAACATGAGTTGTAGTTCTACCTCTGTGAGATTTTGGAATAATATCCTCTCCGTTTTTGGATGTCAGAAACAATATTACAGTGATGTTGTATACTTCCTGCGATATTGAGAGTATAACCTACTAAACATTTTTTGTATTTTTAGTAGAGATGGTGTTTCACCATGTTGGCCAGGCTGGTCTTGAACTCCCAACCTCAGGTTATCTGCCCACCTCACCCTCCCAAAGTGCTGGGATGATAGGCATGAGCCATTGTGCCTGGCCTGCTTCTATTATTATTACATTGAAAAATATAATGAAATACTTAGACAACTCATCATAATGTAGAATCAGTGAGAGCCTCAGCTAGTTATGCCGAAACTAGATGGTCCCTCTGGGGGCAATGGGAGGCTGTGATAGATCATCAGGCATTAGATTTTCATAAGAAGCATACAGCTGCAGGGCATGGTGGCTCATACCTGTAACCCCAGCACTTTGGGAGGCTAAAGCAGGTGGATCCTGAGGTCAGGAGTTTGATATCAGCCTGGCCAATATGGTGAAACCCTGTCTCCACTAAAAAAATACAAAAATTAGCCATGTGTGGTGATATGTGTCTGTAATCCCAGCTACTTGGGAGGCTGAGGCAGGAGAATTGCTTGAACGCAGCAGGCAGAGGTTGCAGTGAGCCAAGATCATGCCATTCCACTCCAGCCTGGGTAATGAGAGCAAAACTCCATCTCAATAAATAATAATAATAATAATAGAAGTGAAGTGCATAATAAATGTAATGTGCTTGAATCATCCTGAAACCAACCCCCTGCCCCCAGGTCCATGGAAAAATTGTCTTCTACAAAACTGATCCCTGGTGCCAAAAAGGTTGGGGACCACTGCTCTACAGGTCTCAAAATATAGCCTGTGCCCCTCAAATAGGTATAACTATTACATATCAATAAAAACTAAAATAAACCAATTAAAATTTAAAATAAAAAAAAAGTAGGACTGAAAAGTTACCACTGGATCGTGGAATAGGAAAATGAATGGTATCCTCATTAAAGGTGGTCTCAGTGGAGAAAAAGAACAGAAGTTGGACTCAGATGGATACAGAGAGTGAGTGGGAGACAGAGTAGCTTGGGATGTGCTGGTAACTCCTCCAGGAAGTGTGCTGGGAAGGGGAGAAGTGAGGCTGGTAAGGATGGTGGGGATGCTGGCTTGGGATGGGCAGATGTGCCCCGACCTGCTCCTGCCTGGGCTCCCCAGTTTCACCCTGTAGATGCAGACTCAGGACAGTGTTCCTTTTGTGGCCACAGGGCATGAATCTCTCAGGGGCCAGAAGCAGCAGCTGAGCCTCACCCAGGCTGTGTACAGAAAGGCAGCTGTGTACCTGCTGGATGACCCCCTGGTGGCTTTGGACGCCCACGTCAGCCAGCACATCTTCAACCAGGTCATTGGGCATGGTGGCTACTCCAGGGAACAGTAAGTTTGGGAACATATGTCAGAAGGCACAGGGCAAAGGCAGAGGATGCTCTTAGCATCCAGTCCTAACCCAAGTTTCTCTCACCGCCCCCTTCCACTTGAGTCCAATTTTCCTCTTTGTATTAGTCGGCTTTTGCTGTGATGATGCTACATAACAAACAACTCCTCAGATTTGATCAGCTTACAACAGCAGCTGTTTTTGCTTATGTGTCTGTGGCTTAACTACTACAACTCTGCCTTGGATGATTGGACTGGGTCAGGTGGACTCTTTGTCTTCTTGAGATAGGCTGAAGGAGTCCCCTCTGTCTATTTGGAAATGCTATTTTCAAGAAAGATGGCAGGAGCACAAGAAGGGGAGCTCTCCCCACTCTGAGTCCAGGGAAAATACTCACCCCCCTACCCACTGCTCCAGGAGGCTGGCCAAGCACATGTGTATAACTTTTCTTACTTTCTTTCCCCTTCCCTTTGTTCTTCTTTCCCATCCCCTACCTCCCTCTTTTTCTCTCTCCTCTCTCCTCCCTCCCTCTCTCCCTTCCTTTCTTTCCTCTTTTTGTTGGAGTCTTGCTCCATCACCTAGGATGAAATGCAATGGTGTAATTTCAGCTCACTGCAACCTCCACCCCCCAGTTTCAAGTGATTCTCATGCCTCAGTTTCCCAAGTAGCTGTGACTACAGGTGTGTGCCACCATACCAAGCTCATTTTAGTATTTTTAGTAGACAGGGCTTAGCCATGGTGACCTGGCTGGTCTTGAACTCCTGACCTCAAGTGATCCACCTGCCTTGGCCTCCCAAAGTGCTTGGATTACAGGCATGAGCCATGGAATGTGGCCACGTGTGTGTTAACTTCTAACCCTTCCCTGCCCAGACACAGATTCTCATTACCCATGTCCTCTACATCCTGCTCCAGGCTGATTGGATCGTGGTGCTGGCAGATGGGGCCATTGTAGAGATGGGGTCCAACCAGGAGCTTCTGCACAAGAAGGGGGCCCTCATGAATCATCTGGATCAAGCCAGACAGCTAGGAGACAGAGGAGAAAGAGGTACTAGGTGGGCTTTGATTCTCTGTGCCTGGCTCTTGCAACCCTTGGGGAAAAAGCCTCAAAGGGTCCTACTGGCAAGAGCAGATGGCTCTGGTCACACCCTCCCTGCAGGCTTATGCCCAGAAGCAGACAGCTCTCCAATAGGTCACCACTCTCCAAGAAGAGCCAATAACACCATCTATGAGCCAGGGGCTGTGCTAAGCGCTTCTGTAAAAAATACACTATTTCATTTGATTCTCACCATACCCTCAGAGGCATGTGAAGTTACTGATGTCATTTTACAGATGAGCAAAGAGAGAAATCAGTTGCCCAAGGTCACCAGATTAGAACTTGAGTGTGTCCAACACCAGAGTCTATGCTTGCAGTTGCTATGGAGACAGCACAAGAAGTTTTTAGTGCCTAGAAAGCTACGAGATGCCAGCTAGAGTTTCTAATAATCCAAAGAACGCAAAGTACACTGGACACATGACAAGGTTCTGGGAGTAAAGTTGCCAAGCCAAGCTCACCCACAATGACTGAAAAGCAGCAACTCATAGCACCTCACATATATTAGCTCACTGAATCATCTTAATGCCCCTGTGAGGCTGGTACTAGAATCATTTCCATTTCACAGATGAGGAAACTGAGTCACTTTAGCCTTTTTCAGTTTTTAGCTTAGCACAGAGGTCTCAAATTTAGCTCTTCCATATTGCTGTTGATGTAAGCCTTGTTTTCTTAATGCAATTCCCTGGACATTTTCTCATCTTAACCTTTTTATTTTTATTTTATTTTTTTGGGACAGAGTCCCGCTCTGTCACCCAGGCTCGAGTGCAGTGGCACGATCTCAGCTCACTGCTACCTCCACCTCCTGGGTTCAAGTGATTCTCCTGCCTCAGCCTCCCAAGTAGCTGGGACTACAGGCACCCCCCACCACGCCTGGCTAATTTTTGTATTTTTAGTAGAGATGGGGTTTCACTATATTGGCTAGGCTGTTCTTGAACTCCTGACCTTGTAATCTGCCTGCCTCAGCCTCCCAAAGTGCTGGGATTACAGGTGTGAGCCACCATGCCCAGTCTCTTTTTATTCTTAATTGCTTACTATCACAAGGCTTAATTTATTTGTGGGGCAGAGATCTGGAGGGTGAGATGTCAGCAGGACATATGGAAATTTCTCCTACTTCCTTCAAGTTCAGTAATGTATAAATAAGTTTTTGTTTTGTTTTGTTTTTCAGAATCTGGTTGTTGTACAGTAGAAGGGTGTTTCAGAGCATTTAGCTCAGCATTTTGTTGAAGGAGAAAATTCCTTTTAACTTACTTTAAAAAAAAAAAAGATTCAATTTTTTTAGAAGTTTTACATTTGCACAAAAACTGTGAATATTGTAGAGAGAGTTCCCATGTACCCTGCACGTAGTTTTCCCTATTATTAAGATCTTACATTAATATGGTTAAATTGAATTTAACCATATTAATGTTAAATTAATATGGCCTGCAATTAGTAGGCCATTACTAATACATTATTATTAACTGAAGTCCATAGTTTATTCAGATTTCCTTGTTTTTTACCTAATGTCTTTTCCTGCTCTAGGGTTTGGTCCAGTATATCACTGATGTGGTTAGGCTTTGTGTTTTCACCCAAACCTCATCTTGAATTGTAATCCCCATAATCCCTATGTGTTGAGGGAGAGACCTGGTGGGAGGCAATTGGATCATGGGAGTGGTGTCCTCCATGCTGTTCTTGTGATAGTGAGTGAGCTTTCATGAGATCCAATAGTTCTATAAGTGTCTGACATTTCCTCTTTCACATGCTCACTCTCTCTCCTGCTGCCATGTAAGACATGCCTGCTTTCCCTTCTGCAATGATTGTAAGTTTCCTGGGGACTCCCCAGCCATGTAGAACTTTGAGTCAATTAAACCTCTTACCCTTATAAATTACCCAGTCTTGGGTATTTTTTAATAGCAATGTAAGAACAGACTAATATAATCACTTTACAAAGTTGTCATGTCTCTTTAAGCCCCTATTGGCTGTGACAGTTTCACAGCCTTGTTTTGGATTGCCTTGGCCATTTTGAGGAGTGCTGGTTGGATATTTTGTAGGATACCCCTCTATTGGAAATTTTTAGTGTAAAATATACATAAAATTTACCATGTCAACCGTGTTTTAATACACAATTTGGTAGCCTTAAGTGTAATATATTCACAAGGTTGTGCAATGATTTTATCATTATGCATTCTCAGAACTTTTTCATCATCTCAAACAAACTCTGTACTCATGAAAAAATAACTCCCTATTTCCCTCTCTCCCTAGTCCCTGGTAAACTCTGTTTTCTGTCTCTATAAATTAACCATTTGTAGGCACCTCATGCAAGTGGAATTATATAATATTTGCCCTTTTGTGTTTGGCTTATTTCCCTTAGCAAAATGTTTTCAAGGTTCATTCATGTAGTAGCATGTCTCAGAATTTCATTCCTTTTTTTTTTTTTTTTTTTGTTAAGGCTGAATACTATTGTGTTGTCCATTCTATGTATACACAAATTTTGTTTTTTATCATTTTATTAGTTACAAGAGAGTTTTATTTCTTCTTTTGGATTTTCTGTTTTTAAATTTTCTTTATAGACATTCATGTCATCTATACACAAAGATTGTTTACTTCTTCCCTCCTTATCTGTATACTCTATTTCCTTTTGTTGTCTTATTTCACTAGCTAGAACTTCAGATGTAATGTTAAATAATAATGATGATAAAGGACATGTTTTTGTTCTTCCTGATCTTGGGGAGCATTAAGCTGTAGATTTTTTGTGGATGTTCTTTTTCAAGTTGAGGATACTTCCCACTAGTCCTAGTTTTCTGAAAATTGGTACCTTCAAGGGTGTTGGATTTTGTCAAATGCTTTTGCTGCATGAATTTATCTGGATCCTATAATTTTTCTTCTTCAATCTCTTAATGTGCTGTGTACATTGATTGATTTTAGAATATTGAACCATCCTCGTATACTGAGAATAAATTCCACTTCCTCATGTTGCATAATTCTGTTTAGACATTGTTGGATTACATTGGCTAAAATTTTATTAAGGATTTAAAAATCTGTATTCATAAGGGATTCCAGTCTGTAGTTTTCCTACAATGTCATTAACTGCTCTTAATATTAGGGTAATGCTAGATTCATAGAATGAATTGGGAAGTGCTCCTTCTGCTTCTATTTTCAAAGAAAAGATTAGGTAGACTTGATATTTTTTCCTTAAATGTATGTTAAAATTTACCAGAGAAAGGCCGGGCGCAGTGGCTCACGCCTGTAATCCCAGCACTTTGGGAGGCCGAGGCGGGTGGATCACGAGGTCAAGAGATCGAGACCATCCTGGTCAACATGGTGAAACCCCGTCTCTACTAAAAATACAAAAATTAGCTGGGCATGGTGGCGCACGCCTGTAGTCCCAGCTACTCGGGAGGCTGAGGCAGGAGAATTGCCTGAACCCAGGAGGCGGAGGTTGTGGTGAGCCAAGATCGTGCCATTGCACTCCAGCCTGGGGAACAAGAGTGAAACTCCGTCTCAAAAAAAAAAAAAAAAAAAAAAATTTACCAGAGAAACCATCTGGGACTGGTGTTTTCTTTCTTGGAAGGTTATTGATTCAACATCCTTGCCTACTCAGATTATCTATTTCTCCTTGCATGAGTTTTAGTAGTTTGTATCTTTCAAGTAATTGCTCCGTTTCATCTACTTTATTAAATTTTGGGGCATAGAGTTCATAGTATTCTTTGATAATCCTTTTAATTTTCCTGGGACAATTAATGATGACTTATATCGCATTTCTAATATTGGTACTACATTGCTTATATTTTTAAATTTTCTGTATATTATGATGTTTTGACATCTTTAAAAAAATCCTTTCTGGCTTGGGAGAAACTGCACCCTCCTGAGGCTAGCCAATTCATAGCTAAGCAAAGGGACTTATCCAGGGAGCATGGCTTTGATATATAAAAAACTAAATATCAAGCCATACCTCCTCTGTCTGGCCCATATACAACAGGCCTTCCTCTGTCTTAACCATTGCAGAGACACCTACCAGATAACTAGGGACAACTGCATACTCCAAGGCCCTCTGAAATTATTCATACTAGCCAGTCCTAATCTGTTTACTCTACCCTACCTTGCTTTTCCTGTGGAAACTTCAATAGAGGCTCTAGTCAAGGCTTTTCTCTGGCTCCTGTTTTCTGCCTCCTGACTAACTACCCCAAGGCTTCCCCATGTAACCCTGTATGGCATGGCATGGCTCCTATTTCTAGGACCTGTGAGTATAATAAATGTTGTTTTCCTCTCATGGACACACTTAAGTGACCATCACAGAAAATAACACAAAACAGGCTATTTGGATCTTCTCTTTTTCTTGGTTAGTACAGCTATAAGTTTATTGATTTTAACTAGATTCTGGTTCCTGTAATTTTCTCTATTGTTTCCCGGTTTCAGTTGCATTGATTTATGATCTAATGTTTATTGTTACTTTTCTTTTGCTTTCTTCAAGCTTAATATTTTTCCTTTAGCTGCTGAAGGTAGACATTCAGATAGAGTTTTTCTTCTTCTCTAATACATGCATTGAATGCTAAGCACTCCAAGCACTGCTTTCAGAGCATTCCATGGGTTTTGATAAGTTATATTTCAATTTTTATATAGTTCAAAATGTTTTTTAATTCTTCTATTTACCTGATCCATGTATTATTTAGAAGTGTGGGTTTAATTTGCAGATATTTTGTGGTTTTCCAGCTGTTCCATTACTGATTTTTAGTTTACTTTTATTGTGTTCTGGGACCACAGTTTGTATAATTTCTGTTATAGGTTAAAGTGTGCTACCTCCCCCTCCGTACCATATATTGAAGTCTGAACACCCAGTACCTGTGAATATGGTCTTTACAGATGTAATCAAGTTACGATATGGTCATTAGGGTGGCCAAAATCCAATATTACTGGAGTCTTTATGAAAAGCAGGAATGCCATGCAAACACAAAAACACCAGGGGAAATGCTACGTGATTAGAGGCAGAGAGAGGTTGTGGTGATGCAGCTGCAAGCCAAGGAATGCCAAGGAGTGACAGCCACCACCAGAAGCTAGAAAGAGGCAAAGAAAGATTCTCCCCTGCATGTTTCAAGCAAAAAATAGTCCTTCTGATACTGTGGTTTTGGACTTCTAGCCTCCAGACCTACAAGAAAATACATTTCTGTTGTTTTAATCCACTCACTTGGTGGTACTTTGTTACAGCTACCCTTAACTATATAATTTCTATTCTTTTAAATTTATTAATGTGTGTTATGGCCCAGAATGTGTTCTAGCTTGGTGACATTCCATGAGACCTTGAGAAAAGTCTGTATTCTGCTGTTATTGAACTGAGTATGCTATAAATGTCAATTAAATCAAGTTGATTGATGGTGCTGTCTAGAGCAACTCTTGCCGATTTTCTGCCCGCTTAACTTATGAATTACTGAAGGAGTAGTGTTGAAGCCTCTAAATATAATAATGGATTTGTCTATTTCTCTTTGCAAATCCAATCAGTTTTGGCCTTATGCATTTTGACACTGTTAGGAGCATATATACCAGGATTGTTCTGTCCCCTTGGAGAACTGACACTATCATTAATGGAGCTCTTTGTCCCTGATAATTTTCCTAGTTCTGATGTCATCTTTGTTTGAAATTAATATAGCTACTCCAGCTTCCTTTTGATTAATGCTAACATAGTCTTCCTTTCTTTATCCATTGATGTTATTAATAATTTGTTATTTTTAAGATGTTTTAACAGCTTGAGTGATTTATTTCACGTACGTATATTTACCCATATAAAGTGTACTATTACTTGGCTTTCAGTGTATTCACAGAGTTGAACACCATCAACCCAATCAATTTTAAATTTTTTTCACTAGCATCCCCCAAACCCTGCAACTCCTTAGCCAATCTTCCATTATTTGCCAAGCCTAGGCAACTACTAATCTACTTCTGTCTCTCTAGATTTGACTTTTCTGAACATTTCCTATAATATGCAGTTATATTGAAACAGAATCCTATAGTATGTGATCTTTTGTGAATGACATTAGATAATAGTTGGTCTTTTGTGAATGGCTTCTTTCACTTAGTATAATAGATTGAAGGTTCATCCATATTGCTGTATATATATGCTTTATTAGTTTTTGTTTCTGAATAATATTCCATTGTATGAATATACCAGTTTTTATTCAACCACTAATCAGTTTATGACCATTATGGGTTTGTTTTATATTTTGGCTATTATGAAGAATCCTGCTATAAACATTTGTATACTGTATATACTTTTTGTGTGCATTATGTTTTCATTTTGCTTGAGTGTATACTTTGTAGTGGTTGCTGGATTATGTGGTAACTGTGTATAAACTATTGAAGAATGGCTAGATCATTTTTCACAGTGGCTGTGCAATTTTCACATCCTTACTAACAGTTTATGAGGGTTCGAGTTTCTCTACATCCTTCTCTACACTTGTTATTGGCCATCTTTTATTGATTGATTGATTGATTTGGGATGGAGTCTCCCTCTGTTGCCCACGCTGGAGTGCAGTGGTGTGATCTCTGCTCACTGCAACCTCTACCTTCTGGGTTCAAGTGATTCTCCTGCCTCAGACTCCTAAGTAGCTGAGATTACAGGCATGTGTCACCATGCCCGGCTAATTTTTTGTATTTTTAGTAGAGACTGGGTTTCACCATGTTGGCCAGGCTGGTCTAAAACTCCTGACCTTGGGTGATCCACATGCCTTGGCCTCCCGAAGTGCTGGCATTACAGGTGTGCCACTGCACCTGGCTTTCCATCCTTTTGGACAGCCGTTTTGGTGGGTGTCAAGTGGCATTTAATTTTGGTTTTAATTTTCATTTCCTTGAAGACTAACAATATTGAGCATCTTTTCATGTTCTTTTTGGCTATTTGTATATGTTCTTTGGACAAATCCCTATTCAAGATTCTTTGCCCATTTTTAACATGGGTTGTCTATTTTATTTATTTATTATTTTGAGACAAGGTCTCACTCTGTAACCCAGGCTTGTGTGCAGTGGTGTGACCATGGCTTTCTGCAGCCTTGATGTCCCAGGCTCAAGCGATCCTCCCATCTCAGTCTCCTGAGCAGTTGGGACTATAGGCATGCACTACTGGACCCAGCTAATTTTATTTATCTATTTCCTTTTTTTTTTTTTTTTTTTTCTGTAGAGATGGAGTCTCACTCTGTTATCTTGGCTGGTCTGGAACTTCCAGGCTCAAGTGATCCTCCTGTCTTAGCCTCCAAAGTGCTGAGATTAAAGGCTTCAACCACTGCACCCACCTGTTTTTGAATTTTAATAGATCTTTATATAGTCTAGACATAAGTTATTTATCAGACACATAATTTGCAAGAATTTCCCCTCCCTGTAGTTTGTCTTACTTTATTTATGGTATTTTTTGGAACAAACGGTTTTTAGTTTTGATAATGTCTAGTTTATCTATTTTGCTTTTCTTTTTTCTTTTTTTTTGGTAATGCTTTTAGTTGTCCTAGCTAAGAATCCATCAAAGATTCTTAGAATTGTAATTAATTCAAGGTCATAAAGATTTAAACCAACAGTTTCTTTGAAGAGCTTTAGAGTTTTAGCTCCTACGTTTAGGTCTTTGATCCATTTTAATTTTTGTACATGATGTGAGGTAAGGATCTAACTGCACTGTTTTGCACTAGGATATCCAGTTGTCTCCCCATCTGTTGAAGATGATCCTTTTCCCATTGAATGGTCTTGCACCCTTGCTAAAGATCAGTTGACCATACACACATGAAGGTTTATTTCTGGACGTCCATTTTATTCCAAAACAATTGGAATTATTAACTGCTTACATGTTTCAGGCATGATCCTAAGCATGAATTCATTTGCTTCTCACAACAACTGTGAAGTGGGCACTATTCTCATTCCCTTTTGACAGGTGAAGTGGCCAAGATACAGTGTTTTGCCCAAAGCCACATAAGTAACTACTAAGTGGCAGTGCCAGTGTAAGAATTTAGGTTGACTAACTTGAGAGCCTGAGATCTTAGCCCTGCATGCTGTAAATAAAAGTTAGAAGTCAAAACTTCAGAATTCCACTGAAGAGTTCACTTTAAGCAAACGGAGTGAAGGTCAGAGTAGCCACTAAGGGTTTTAAAAGCAAAACAGGGAGGGACTTCCTCACCAGCTTGCTTTCTGTGGCGTAGCGGCAATGGATCTGCCTTTTTTAGTTAAAACTCGTACAACACCGCCCCCACAAGTTGATAATTTGCACTGGCTGTAAGTCGAATTTGCACTTAGTTCCTGGGGCAGTGCTGAGTGGTGCGAGCAAGGGTTCGGGCCCATTGCCAGAGCCTCCTGCCGCTTTCCGCACAGAACTTGGGAGTGGGAAGGCATCAGCCGGACTCGAGGTTGCCCGGGATGCGGAAACTCTAGCAGGAAGATGCCTCCTTGCCTCGGTAACTGCGTCGCAGTTGCCGAAGATGGCGGGGAGAGGTCTTTGTCTCAGGGTCGGTCCAACTCCAGGCTCCTGGGGAGAGTCTGGGCTCCGGAGACTAGGACGCCTAACCTCCTTTATCTTTGGGTCTGAAACTCTCTGCCTCTTTTACAGAGAAGCAGCAGTCCAGGGACTCCACTCCTGCCACCAGTTCAGCAACCCTCTACACCTGGACCCGACCTTCTTGCTTTGGAGAAAGAGTAAAAGTAAGAAATTCAACGGCTGAGCTTTTCTTTTTCTTTCATCTAAATGAGGCTGCTTACAAGTACTTTTTCTGAACACTGGCTGGATCTTCAGGACCACTCACTCTGCAGCATTCCCTTCTCATCATCTAGTTCACTCGCTGTTTATCCTTTCTCTTTCACCTGAGCAGTTCACCTGCATCTTAGAAGATATTTGAAGTGGGTGAAAATTTAGCCCAAGTAAACAGGAATGTGCTTTTGGAAGTTATTTGAGTAGCAGGAATTGCCACGAATAGTTCAGTTTCTAGTTTAGGTTATTTTGCTTAGTAGTAAGTTCATAGAGTTTACCTTATGTATCTTTCCTTTACATTGGTTTCTAAATTGAAAACATGCTTCCGAGTGCAATCAGAATTACTGTTCTCGTTCAAATTTTCCTTATCTGGTCTCAGTATAATTACAAGTATCTTGACAAACTTTCATTCTTGGCCCATTCCACTCATCATCCCTAAATTTTCACACAGCAGCCAACGTAATCTTTTAATTTGATCATGCAATTCCTTTGCTTAAAACTCTACAGTGGTTTCCTGATGCACTTTAAAAGCTCCTCCTACCACCTTTTTACTTGATCTTATTCCCGCTCCCATTTCCACCCCTAAAACTCTCCAGTTTAACTGGAATTTTAGTCCGAAAACTTTCAGGTTTTTTTTGTCTCAGGAAAAAGACAATTCACACACACCTTCGACCTGTATTGTGAGTGGCCTTCTTTGACTATGCTAAGTGGGCTCCCTTGTTGGTCTTTTTCATCATCTTACTGATTTTTCTTTCTAGTTAGCATAATTTGTTACAATAGATGCATTTGTTAATTTCCTTTTTGTCTGTCTTTTCCACTGGACTGTTAAGTTCCAAGGGCAGAGACCATGTCTGTTTTATTTGCCTTTGTGCATACCCTTATAAAACACTGTCTTTTGGGCCAGGCGCGGTGGCTCACGCCTGTAATCCCAGCACTTTGGGAGGCTGAGGTGGGTGGATCATGAGGTCAAGAGATCAAAACCATCCTGGTCAACATGGTGAAAACCCGTCTCTACTAAAAATACAAAACATTAGCTGGGCATGGTGGTGCACGCCTGTAGTCCCAGCTACTTGGGAGGCTGAGACAGGAGAATTGCTTGAACCCAGGAGGCGGAGGTTGTGGTGAGCACAGATCGTCCCATTGCACTCCAGCCTGAGTAACAAGAGTGAAACTCCGTCTCAAAAAAAAAAAAAAAAAAGTGTATTTTAACAACTCCCTTTCTTTTCAATTTAATACAAAATAAGTAGTTTAAAATTTGGAAATAGTTGGGAGTTTGTATCAGAGGGTTAAACTAGAGTTACCGCATGATCTACATATGATGTATATTTAAAATTAAAGCATATTTGAAATTAAAACTGAAGAGTACTAGTTTAGATGAGCTATACACCAATTTGCCACAGGAAGTAGGAAGATAATCATATCTTCTTCTCTCTGATCAAATAGGCCTATTATCCCAGTTCACAAGTGTACTTAAGCAACTTCATCTGTGGTCTATATATACTTATCAGCTGTGCATGAATCAAAACGGTTATTTTCATATTATTATACATATAGTATTAAATACCTGGATTAGATTTGTCAGTTATTTGAGAGTATATTTTGCACCTGGCTCTGGTGCATCGTTAGGGATATAGTCCTGCTTAAAATAAGAAATACATAGGGACTATTATTCTAAAGCGAGATAGCTAAACAGTATTACATGGTGTCCAGGTGTTACTTGTTCTGTTGTCTGTACTCTGAGTTGTGCACACGTGAAGCACATGAACGGGGTAACTCTCTACACTACCTGAATCTTCTAGAGTACTTCTGTGTCAGGTAGAAGAGTAAAATCTCTGGCCATCCCTGTAAGCAAGAATATGAGATTATAACAGTATGGTATCTATTTTGCCACCTGTTGTCTTGGCATTAGTCATTAGAACGCTACTTCCCAGGGACCTAAATCCAAAACCTTTTGCAATTCTGCTCCTGTTGGGGGAAATAATCACTATTTGAGAGGATAGGCTAAGGAAGATGCTAATCACTCAAGTGGATAGATTTTTCAAGCTTCATTCCTGTATTATAATACCAATAGCTAAACAATAAGATTACATGATAACTGGTAGGGCAAGCCCCCTCATAGGTCTCAGTTACATTGGATTTACAGATTAATTTGCAGATAATGGATTTATTTATGCTACTGAATCTTCCACGAATATGATACTTCTCCATTTACAGGTTTTTTTTTTAACCTTTAATAGTGTTTTGTTTTACTACATAAAATTCTTGCATATATAATTTGCTTCAAGATGCTGAATAGTTTTTGTTGCTGTATAATGAGTGGAATTTTTTCAATTATATTTTCTAATTGGTTATAAATGTAGGATTTTTAGATGTTGATGCTACATCTGTATTTACTTACACGCACAGATCTTAGTCCTGCTGGACTCTTATTCATTCTACGAAGTCCCTTGGATTTTTGATGAAGACAGTTATATACAAATTATGATCATTTTCTCCCTTGATAATTCTCTTGCATTCTCTCTTTTTCTCTATTTAGGACTTCCTGTGTGATATGGAATAGAAAAAGTGATGGTGAGCTTCCTTACCTTGTTTATGATTTTGAGAAGCCCACTTTTAATAATCACTACATTTGAGGTTTGCTCTAGGTTTTTGGTAGATTCTTTTTTTGTGTTTAAAATTCTTCCCCTTAATTCCTAATTTGAATGAGTGTTAAATGTATCAAAACTTCTTTTTTCCCCAATTAATTCAGGTGGTCATATGTTCTTTTTCCCTCCTTTAATGCTTTACCATACTGAACTGCAAGGGCAGCTTTCTTGTTTTCCTTTAAAGACTGCTAGATTTGATTGGCATAATTTTTAATGTAGTTTTTTACATCTATGAACAAAAGTGAAGATTTATCTGTTTTGTTGGTCTTTTCAGAGAACCAGCTTTAGTTTTCTTGGTAATCTGTGCTACTGTAAAATTTCATTAATCTTTATAAAGAAAGACAGGTGGTCTAACTTGGATGTATTAATTTTTTTTTCTTTTTAGTTTCTTGACCTCATTTATTGTTTTCTTATTTTTTAATAAATATATTTAAGTCTTTAACTTTCTCTCCAACTATAGCTTAACTACATTCCAGGACTTCTTTTGATGTATATTTCTCTTATGGTTATTAAGTTATAAATATTATGTGGTTTTCATAGTGATTATTTAGAAGTGTGTTTTTTTAGTTTGCAAGCGCATAGAGTTGTTTACTGTTGTCTGCTTTTTACTTTTCTAAGTATGTATGTGACAGGGTCCTGCTCTGTTGCCCAGGCTGAAGTGCAGTGGTGAAATGATGGCTCACTGCAGCTTTGAACTCCTGGGCTCAAGAGGTTCTCCCATCTCAGCCTCCCAAGGATCTGGGACTACAGGCACATGCCACCATGCCAGGCTAACTTTTTTTTGTTTGTTTTTGAGGCAGGGTCTCACTCTGTTGCACAGATTGGAGTGCAATGGTGTGATCTCAGCCCACTGCACCCTTCACCTCCCAGGATCCTAAGTACCTGGGACTATAGGCATGTGCTAGCATGCACAGGTAATTTTTGTATTATATTTTTTTGTAGAGAAGATGTTTTGCCATGTTGCCCAGGCTGGTTTTTAACTCCTGGACTCAAATGATCTGCCTGCCTCAGCCTCCCAAAGTATTATTATTCTGATTTAGATTACAGGCATGAGCCCCCATGCCCAGCCTAGTTTATTTTAAATTGCATTATGATTAGGGAATTGATAAGATACTAAGTTTTTAAAATGTATTGAGACTTATTTGTGGCCAAGTTCACTTTTTGTGCATATTCACTTTTTGTAGAAGCTCTATGTGTTCTTTGATAGAAAGTATATTTATTATTTGTTGGCTAACCTGTTAGATTAAGCCAATTATATTTGTTTCCATGACATTGGTTTCCTCAACTTTTTTTGTTATTGTTCTGGCTTTCTTGGTTTCTATTAGAAGTGTATTAAAAATCATCAATTATAATTATAGAAAAAAGTTCCTTATAATTGTGGCCATTTTTATTTGGAAGTATCTTATTTGACTTATGTAAATCTTCTTGATTTCTTTTATTCTTTTTTTTTTTTGAGACGGAGTTTCGCTCTTGTTACCCAGGCTGGAGTGCAATGGCGTGATCTAGGCTCACCGCAACCTCCGCCTCCTGGGTTCAGGCAATTCTCCTGCCTCAGCCTCCTGAGTAGCTGGGATTACAGGCACGCACCACCATGCCCAGCTGATTTTTTTTGAATTTTTAGTAGAGACGGGGTTTCACCATGTTGACCAGGATGGTCTCGATCTCTTGACCTCGTGATCCACCCGCCTCGGCCTCCCAAAGTGCTGGGATTACAGGCTTGAGCCACCGCGTCCGGCCAATTTCTTTTATTCTTATGTGGTGTCTGTTATAACTTTTTTCATCCTTTATTTTCAAACTTTGTATGTCATTTATCAATAAGAGCATTCTTTTCATAACCAGTCTGATAATTTCTATCTGTTAATAAGTAAATTTAACTTATTTACATTTTTACATAACTTGATGTTGTCTTAGCCACCTTATTTTTTATGTTTTCTATTTATTATGTCTTGTCTTTGGTGCTTGTCTGTCTGCTGCTGGATTGAATGGGTTTTCATTATGTCTTTATTGTTACTGGTTTGGAAAGGTGTTAGAATGCTTTAACTTGGTTTCCTCTGTTTTTTAAGTTAGATAATATTTTACTTTGTTGTTTTGAATACACCCACACCCAGTTAATCATCAGTGTTATTTTTATAGTCTGTACTAATTTAGATTTAGCGTGTTTTTCGATATCTTCATGATTCTTTTTTTCCAGCTTCAGTTTTTCTCCTTCCTGAAGTGTAAACACTTCATTACTTCTTTTTGTGAAAATCTAAGTCTTAAACTCTCCAGTCATTTAGAAAATTCTTACCTTGCACTTATTCTTCAATGACAGTTTATCTGAATGTAATTCTAGATAGCCAGTTTTTCCTTCTCAGCCCATTAAAGATATCCTTATATTGTCTGTGGGAAATATAAGGATAGAAATGTTAGAATGTTAGAAATTTTAATGAGCCACCTGCTGTCAACTTTTTAGATAATTATGCTGGTAGACTTTTTCTCTGTTCTTTTAAAATAATGCTTTGGTAGTTTAGGGAATACTCTCTTTATCTTTAAAATTCTGCACTTTCACTATTATACACATGTAGATTTGTTTTCTTTATTCTTCATGAGATCCATGTCTTCAGTTTGGGAAATTCTCAGCATTAGCTCTCTAAATCTTGACATTCTCTCCTCTTGGGATGTCTTGTCTTTCCTTCCCCTTCCCATTCCCCTTCCGACAGAATCTTGCTCTGTTGCCCAGGCTGGAGTGCAGTGGCAGGATCTTGGCTCACTACAACCTCCACCTCCCAGGTTCAGGTGATTCTCATGCCTCAGCCTCCTGAGTAGCTGGGACTACCGGCATGCAACACCACACCTGGCTAATTTTTTTGTTTTTTTTTTTTTTTGAGATCAAGTTTTGCTTTTGTTGCTGAAGCTGTAGTGCAGTGGCATGATCTCAGCTCACTGCAACCTCCGCCTCCCGGGTTTGAGTG